AAGATAGGTTTGAATAGGTTTTAGGGTTTTGGTCGCACGAGGCGAGGAATAATGTTTGTAAGCATTGGGATATTTAACTTAGAAGTGACGATTACTTGAAGCTTAAGAAAGATTTCTCGGACCCAAGTAATCGGGAGAGTGAACCAAAGACTTGGAGCTCTCTCTTTTTCAACCTCAAATGTGAAAGGATAGAATTGAGTATGGTTTGAATAAGTTGAACGGATGACGATTACTTGAAGCTTAAGAAAGACTTCTTGGGCCCAAGTAATCGGGAAAACGATCCAAAGACTTGGAACACTTTCTTTTTCATCACGAAAGGAATTGTTTCAATGGCGTTTGAAAGATAGGATGTGGTTAAAGTATCTTAACAGATGAGGATTACTCGAAGCTTAAGAAAGACTTCTCGGACCTCAAGTAATCGGAAGAGTGAACCAAAGACTTGGAGCTCTCTCCTTTTCTTATCTAATATTATGAAAGATGTTTAATAATATTAGAGTGTATTAATCGGATGACAATTGCTCGAAGCTCAAGAAAGACTTCTTGGACCTTAAGTAATCGAGTGAGTGAACCAAAGACTTGGAGCTCTCTCTTTTTCATCTACGTGTTTAGGAAAAATGATTTGAATTTGTTTATCGGTTTTTAGAAGACAATTATTCAGGCTTAAGAAAGACTTCTCTGACCCAAACAATTGGGAGAGAGAACCAAAGACTTGGAGCTCTCTCTTTTTCATCTTTTATTGAAATTGTATTTGAGTAGTTATTAAGTATTTTAATTTGATTTAGAGAAAATACTCGATATGAATCGAGGTTTGAAATTTGAGTTTTAACGTGTACACTAGCAAAGTGGGCTAGTCTTCTAAGTGACCAATTAAAAATAATTGATCAAATAGGTATCACTGTAAGGAAGCCCAGGATTAAGCTTTAAAATTTTGTGTATTGTGATCAAAGGTTGATGGCGAGGCTTTGAAGGCACTCGACTTACAAGGGTAGAAAATGGCTCGACTAATCGAGAATTTACTTTGAAAAATAGTTTTAAGGCATTAAAGCATAAACAATACGAAAGCGATGAGAATATTATATTTTGTAGGAATGGGGATACATTTGTCGAATAGGGATGGAATAATACGAAAGCATGCACAATCGAGTCGAATTTTGTCACAATGTGCTATAAAACCGGTTTGTACCTAACGACCCCACGGTAAAAATCGTCCAACTAATGTGTCAAAATATTATAGACACAATGACATGAAAATTGTCGAATCCGCATAACAAAAAATGAAGTAGGTCAATAAGCACCAATTCAAAACATCCGCTAGAAACAACCATGAGATTCTTATTGCATTCTTAAAAAAAAACGGAGTTCTCAATGTAATATATTTAATAAGTACAAAGTGGTGTGTATGTATTAATGCTATAAAGTTCCAAAATGAAATCCCCAGTACGTGAATGTGAAAAATAATTAATAAAACAACTTTTTTTGCCTTCCTTTTTTAAAAATATCGCAGCCAAACTTTGTCTGCCTAATACTAGAGGGGCATAAAATTCAACACTTAATTCCAGTAGCAATTAATTAATGATATCCATCAACGCGTATCACGCAGGCTTGCGAATATGAAAACAGAACCGAAATTGAGTGAATGGAATTATTTGTGGAAACAAGATAAACACAAGGCGACAAACAAAGTGCAATAAATAAACGTGATGAGAAACGGCAGCGTAACAACAAATGCTCAAAATTAGCGTTATTAGCTGAACCTATCAGTGTTAGATCACATCACAGCAAAATTCCAAGAGAAAACACACTAGTAACCCAAATTTTGGAGCAGGTTAAAACCAATATTAGAAAACTTTAAACAACTCAAGCAACACATTATATGTGCACAATCATGAAAGCTAAGTCACAGTCAACTAATATTCTAATAGCACCTTGCAAGAATTGTTCAAATTCGAAAGGTTACCGAAATGACGTCGCAAACTGCCCTAAAGTCAACAAAGCTAACTGGAGCTGCTGCGTATGATGAATCTGCCAGCTGTTGTTGTTGTACAGCCTGTTATGTTGTCATCATGCCGATCTGTAACCAAAACGATGCCCCGGACGAAACCTTGTCTATGCTCTTGACCAACTCAGAATCATAGCCGTATTACCCTGTCAAATATAAAATACGTCTTCGAGAATCCAAATACACAAAAATGTTATAAGGTAAACTACACTTATCAAGGAAAGAATTATTTATTGCAGTAAGGAAACATGCTTATTATTTCCAAAGTATGAACCATAAAGTCAGTAGATAAACACAGTGAAATTGAACCCAGACCAGCTATACCAAAACCCCAATCACAAAAAATGAAATTACGATGTTAACGAAATATAAACACCACTTGACGCAGATCTTTTCTTAGCTCAGGCCCTACACTTGACCTTGCTGTTTTGCTTCGACGTGTTATCATAATTGTCATCTCCGAGGATGTGTTTTGATGTGCGTAGGCTGGTTCTATCGCCGCTATGATGTCGGATGCAAACAAAACACAGACCCTTGCAGCAGGGCTGATTCATGTGATATTGTTGTTGTCCTTTGGAGGCATATGAACCTGCATATAAACCAGTCACAGATAGTAATCCACAACAGAGAATCAATTTCACGAACTCGGCAACCGACAAAATTGAGTTGGAACGAAGACACGACTGAGACTATTGTTTTGCCGTTGCTGCAAACTGAGGTGTGGCGTTGTCGGTGAATGGCGGCAGCTGCAAGTTGCGAGAATTCACTTACGGTTGTGTAGTCGACGTGTGACGAAACTTGGCAATGTCGCAACCTGTCAAAAAAGAACAAAACAAACAATATCCAACAGCAGCTGGGACTGACTTGCTGTCTCAAATCCAATATGGATAGAAGCTGACGGTATCGATGTTGATAACTGAGGAACAAAACCAAGATGCTTCTGAATACCGTTGTCCTGATTTATTGTTGTAAAGCCAAATTGTGATGACGCTAGAAGGTTATCATCATTGCATAATCGAAGTGCTTCAGGAGTGAAAATGCTTTTTAACAGACACTGAGATAGAACAAGGTGGAAGCTTAATCGAAACCGGAGACGCGGAGTTGCATTAGCTATGGCATTGAGCGTAACTGACACCATGATTCATGGAACATATTCACTGCGGCTTCAAACTCGTGTGATTGGAAACACATCTGATATCGAGATTCAGGAACATCGTGACCTACATAAAATCAACAGCCAGCCCAAATAGAATAACAGCTTTTAGAGAAATAATAATAAATGAAAACAGAATCAGTATAAACAAAATTCACGAAAATAAAGTTGAGCTGAAGGTGCGTTTGAAATTGTTGTTGCTGTCAACTAATGCGTTGCAGAATTGCTGCTACGATGTTCTCACTAGTGACATGTTATATATATAAACCACATCCAGTTCTGTTGCAGTTTCATCAAACCATCGTCTTTATGGTGTCTTGATTACTACAGAAATCGAACTCAACTTACTATTGAAACATGTTGTTGCGAAACGAGTTGGATTTAAGTTCTGAACCGTGAATCCAACAACCGAAATACGTTGCTGTTAAAACCATCTTCTTCTCGTGACGAAAGTCTCGCGCCGGCTCTTGTCCGCTGGTGATGTTGTTTGAGGTACTGCGATGTCGAGCCGTGTTATTGTAAGCAAGAATCAATCAAATGTGGCACAATTCAAGCTTGTATCATGACAACAGCAGTGATCGAAACAAGTTACAATCTTGGTGGCTGACACAGATTACGTCTTGAGTACTGGTGCTCATAATCAGGCTTCTGAACTTGTCCTGTGCTAAAGCATCATGGGAAATTCGAAAGAAAAATTAACTGCAGTGAACTTGTACTGTTAACAGCGCCGTAAACACTTGTAATTCTTTGAACCAGCAGTGAGGAAAAAAAGAAGGATGCTTGATGCTTTTGTTGGAACAGTCGAGTAATTGATCCTAATCAAATTTGATGCTACAAAATATTCAATCGACAATGATTTATGCTATAGGATCGAGAGCAGAGCCGAGAAATGTAACACAGTATTGTTGTATTTTCGTGCCAAACTTGCAGCCAAGTGGTAATCATGATTGTTGTTGTGAAATAGTGAAGAATACACCTCTGATTAGTGTTTGCATTCACATCTTTAAAATCTGGCGACTTCGTAACCTTGCTGTTATTGCAAACTCATCGGCCTCCGTATCGGCATCAGAACTGTATGAACTTGGAACCTTTCACCGCTATACTTGGAACCTTTCACCGCAACAGAGTCGTATTACATCAACAGATGGGGCGGCTTCAAGTGAACAACTTGTTGAGTTGATTTTCCAGATGCGAATCACCGTTTAGTCCTGCAATATTACAAAACTGAAAATCAACAGAGTCATTGTTGTTCCGGCGAGGCCATCTTGCTGCTCGGTGCTGATTTATTTCCTGGACGTAGTCGACTCAATTCTCGAATTTACTTCAGAACCTTTTTTCTGCTGAACAGAAGCGCGAACCGTGAGTTGCGTATTGGGGATGCGTTGACGGAGGCCGATGGAGAGAACGGAGGTTGCGACTGCTTTAAGCCGTTGCTACTCAGTTCTGCCATGGTAGACTTCAAGTGCTGCTGGGTTCAACGACTGCTATGTGCCATTCGACTTCGTCTTATTGCTGCGCAACTGAAACTCGGCGACGCCGTAACCTGCAACAATCAACAGAATAAACTTCACGAATTTGAGACCTTCGAAGCGGAACCCCTCTTTTGAGTAGAATTCAACACGACACCAGTTGCGGCTGTTGCTGTCGGATGAAGTACTGGAGATTATTGTTATGGTTTCCTCTACTTTAGGTTGATGCTACTCGACTTTCATTGCAAAATTCAAGTGCTGATGGCTCCAACTGTTGATATGTGCACCTCTTATTGATGTGGATGTTGCGCCTTTTTGAATTCGGCAATGCCGTAACCGAATACTCAAGTTGAGGAGAAAGCTTCCCTCTACAATCTGTTCAGTATTTAACCGGAGCAAGGATTTCAAGTTGGGGACCAAGCTTCTCGTCTACAATCTTCTCAGCTTTAACCCTCAATTTATTGAGTAGCTTCTTCTTCTCATAATTCAAATGTTCCCTCTCCTTTCTCTTCTTCTCCAGCTCCTTGATGGTGTCGTAGTAGTTCCATCCGACCTCTGAAGACAACTGTCCAAGCAGACAGTACTTACGTCCTTTCTGAAGCCTCAACACCTTGAGTGCATCTGGAACCACCATTCTCTTAATTTTGTCATATGGTGGCGGAATACCCTCGTAAACCTTCAATCGGGCAAGCGCCACTTCTCCCCTCTTTGTCTTGTGTGGTATCATTCCACGAACAGTACGCCAGAAGATCTTTGACGGAGCACGAAAATGAATAGGACCATGAGAAGGTTTAGTATTCATCCTCTTCCTCAGAAACCTCATGTATTTCATTTTCTACCTAACTAAGCCGCCGGAAATGCAGATTTCCTCGCACCTAACAAGAACAACCTTCTGACCATTTAGAAGCTTCTTGGCAACAATGGATGCTAGTCTTCCTAGCATGTGATGCCTTGCATCGACAACAACCCTCTTAGCGCAAGCACCTGAACCGGAAACCATTTTCACTCGATCTTCCTCTCTGTGGCTCGTTAGGCTTTTGAAGTTTGGTTTCAGAGAAGAAGAGGAAGGGTTTTGCGATTTGGAGTGGAAGGACCTGGCTGGGAAGACGGTGAGTTATCTGAGCTCGGCGGAAGCGGTGAAGGAGAGAAGTGCTTCGGCGGCGGGGGGGTTTGTTTGTTAGGGGAGATGATTGTAGGTGAAGTGAGGGTTTAGGGCGATGGCATTTGCGGCTAGGGTTACCCTTCAGAATTTGGGATCCCATGAACAGTAGGGTTCCCTATTTAAATACCCAGTTCATCCGTGTCCTCAATTTTTCTTTTTCCTAAAATTTTCTTAACTTTTCTGAATAATAAATCTATTTTCTATGTTAACTAATTTTAATTAAATAAAAAAACTAAATCCTAATTTATTTAATAATTAAAAAAATCAAATCCTATTCCTAATTAAAAAATCTATTCTAATAAATAAATAAATAATTATAATTCTATCCTATTAAAACTAATTAATCAATTAATAATAAAATGTTAAAACATAACTAAATAATAAATAAAAAGATGTCATGTGGTGCAAATTTAATGGACTAAAAGGTGAAAGAGTTTATTTTTGCCGAAGAATACGTTACCCCGTAAAAGCGATGCGAATTGAAAAAATAAAATCGGGCGGAGAAAAAAATTTGAAACAGGTAGGACAAATTTGGGGTATGACAGATGCCCCTATCTAATTGCCTTGAACTTGAGAAAATGAATAGCTGCATGGCGTTCATTTTAGGGTGGAAGTCAATTAGATACAAGAAGACCCCCAAATTTGTCCGACAGACAAGTAAAATGCAGAGAGATAAGATGTACCGTGACAGGGTGGCAAGATGCAAAATATGAACGAGATAACCTGACATTCTCTGGGTGGTCGAAGCAGTCTCTTATCTAATAAGGTTCTTCGATGATACCAAAGCAGTATCTCTGATCAAAACTTAAGATTCTTCGGGTAGTTGAAGCAGCCCCTTATCCAATAAGGTTCTCTGATGATACCAAAGCAGTATCTCTGATCAAAACTTGAGATTCTTCGGGTGGTCGAAGCATTCCCTTATCCCATAAGGTTCTTCGATGATACCAAAGCAGTATCTCTGATCAAAACTTGAGATTCTTCGGGTAGTCGAAGCAGCCCCTTATCCAATAAGGTTCTCTGATGATACCAAAGCAGTATCTCTGATCAAAACTTGAGATTCTTCGGGTGGTCGAAGCAGTCCCTTATCCCATAAGGTTCTTCGATGATACCAAAGCAGTATCTCTGATCAAAACTTGAGATTCTTTGGGTGGTCGAAGCAGTCCCTTATCCCATAAGGTTCTTTGATGATACCAAATCAGTATCTCTGATCAAAACTTGAGATTCTTCGGGTGGTCGAAGCAGCCCCTTATCCCATAAGGTTCTCCGATGATACCAAAGCAGTATCTCTGATCAAAACTTGAGATTCTTCGGGTGGTCGAAGCAGTCCCTTATCCAATAAGGTTCTTCGATGATACCAAATCAGTATCTCTGATCAAAACTTGAGATTCTTCGGGTGGTCGAAGCAGTCCCTTATCCAATAAGGTTCTTCAATGATACCAAAGCAGTATCTCTGATCAAAACTTGAGATTCTTCGGGTGGTCGAAGCAGTCCCTTATCCAATAAGGTTCTCCGATGATACCAAAGCAGTATCTCTGACCAAAACTTGAGATTCTTCGGGTGGTCAGAGCAGTCCCTTATCCAATAAGGTTCTTCGATGATACCAAAGCAGTATCTCTGATCATAACTTGAGATTCTTCGGGTGGTCGAAGCAGTCCCTTATCCAATAAGGTTCTCTGAAGATACCAAAGCAGTATCTCTGATCATAACTTGAGATTCTTCGGGTGGTCGAAGCAGTCCCTTATCCAATAAGGTTCTCCGACGATACCAAAGCAGTATCTCTGATTAAAACTTGAGATTCTTCGGGTGGTCGAAGCAGTCCCTTATCCAATAAGGTTCTTCGATGATACCAAAGCAGTATCTTTGATCAAAACTTGAGATTCTTCGGGTGGTCGAAGCAGTCCCTTATCCAATAAGGTTCTACAATGATACCAAAGCAGTATCTCTGATCAAAACTTGAGATTCTTCGGGTGGTCGAAGCAGTATCTTATCCATTAAGGCTCTTCGATGATGCCAGAGCAGTATCTCGAACAAAACTTGAGATTCTTCGGGTGGTCGAAGCAGTACCTTATCTATTAAGGCTCTTCGATTATACCAAAGCAGTATCTCGAGCGATGATTTTGCTGAGGAATAGTTGAGCTAAAATACCTATTAGAGGAACAGCGTTGTCCAAGCTCTGTAGGGGAAAGTCTTCAAGAAACTTTTTAAGATAACCTTTGCTTGGGGAGCCATAAGAGCAACGGTCGCCGGAGACTATCATTATCAACTGCATGGTTGAAGAATGACTTGCTAGGGAGTAGAATTCCCTGAACTTGCGGGATATCAACTCTTTGTAGAGAAATATTGCCGACTTTGACGAAGGACTGGCCAAGATGCTCGCAAATCGATCCTGGATCCTGCTATGCTGCTATGTTATATTGTTGAAGACAGCGATGATATGCGTTATGATACATAAACATGCAACTAAGATTCAACTGCTAGGGAGTGCAAGATGCGAATGCAAATGATATGCTAATGCTCGATATGACTATGATATGATGTGATATTGTATGTCGTGCTTATGATAATGCAAAGGTATGCTAAGGATAAAATCCTGCCGGGGATACCACCAGGGACTTTATTTGGTAGTTGACAAATGGTTTTGGACTTTGGTTTTATGAGGATGCCATCGAGGGTGGACTTTTAGTGGTTGCCAATGAAGACTGGACTTTTAGGGTGAATTGAAGGTGCCAATTGGAGTGGCCTTTTTTTGTAGTTGCCAATAAAAGATTGGACTTTAAAGACGTGCCAAGCGAGATCGGACTTTTATTGGTAAAAGGATTTGACTTCCCGACACATGGTATATGACAGCGCCACAATCATAAGACAGATGTGGATACTCTTGGTGCTCCAAGTTGGATCCTTTGCAGAAGTGGTATTCTTGTTCTTGTAAGAACCTCGCTTCTAGCTGATACGTCATGACAGCTTACAAATGTTGAGCGTAGCAACTTATCCAAAGCATGTTGACTGCGCGAGCGTAATAACTTAACCAATGCGTGTTAATCGTGCTAGCGTAGCGATTCAACCAATGCATATGGATTACGTGAGCGTAGCGACTTAACCAATGCGTGTTAGTCATGCTTTTGCTCTTCCCAAAGGATTTCGACGTTTATGGACCCTAACCATTACTGGTGTCTGGTGTGGTCATCTTGATCAACTTTGAAAGCGTGAAGGGAAATTGCCCCTGTTCAGCTAATCTGCCCCAGTTCAAATGGTCTGCCCTAGTCTGCGGGGTATTTGAAGGATTTTTCTTCTGGGATGAGAACTTTGGTGATGATTATACCAGGATATGGCTTGAACCCATCTGCCCCAGTGTCTGGACCTTGTAGTGGTTTGCCCCGGTTTAAACCTCAAAAGAACTTGCCCCAGATTCGTAGGGTTATGAGAAATTCTTGATTCAGGTCAACACCAATGAGCGATCAAGTTCCTCTTTGACTGCACTTTGTTGGAATTTCTATAATGTCAAGTACTGATTTGCAGTTTAAATTTGTTCATTCAAAAATGGTAATTTTAATGCGACATTCATGTAAGTTTTGAAAATATCAATTATTGGGAATGATGTGAAAATGTGTGACGAGTGGACTATTAATCCGAACGCAATGCTGATTTAATTGGTGTGAAAGATATAGCAAGAATATGACACCAATACATAAAATTAGCAAATATGTATGAGTCAGTTTACGCAACCTTGCTGTAGTATGCTTTCAGAATAAACCTCGCCTCAATTAGGTCTTTCAAGGGTTGTAACGTGGTCTGGTTCACGGTTATAGAAATAAAGGATATTAGGCTCAAAGTATTATTTGTACCCACCCCTTCTTCGTAATGATCTCCATACCTACGTTCAATTAATTTTGCACCTGCTTGACGATGTAAACTTGATGGTTCAAAGTTTACTTGAAATGGCAGCCATCTTATTTTGATGGATGTCAGTAACCCCTTGATTTGGGCGGCCACTGAATCTTATTTTGTTTTTGTTGAGGGTTTGAGGACCTCTTTTTGGTTTTGTTTTTGATCCCTAACTTTTGCATGGACTGATTTCGCTTTTCGAGTCCATCGGGATTGCCTTGTTTTTGCCTAAGTCTCCTTTTGAGGTGTTCGACTTAGCCGGCTTTTGAATTTTTTTGAAGGATTGTGACTGCCATGTCAAGGGTTATTGATGAACAACCATCTTGTATTTGGGTTTTCTTTCGTGATTCGAATGCGTAATCAAGTTAACTGAATACTACCCATGCCCCAGGTTAAGTATAAGGGTTTAGAAATCCGAAGGAAACTCCTACTTCTAGCCTCGAAGTGGTCAACTAGGGACTAACTCCTTATCTCTTCAGTGTTTGGGAATTTAGAGCAATGCCTGTACATCATCGGCGTGATTTTATCCAAAAGCATACTTATCAGCAATTATGGATATTTCGTTTTCGTCATCCTCCCTCAAAACAGCAGTGCGATAAAGGAAGTGAAATATTTTTGTGATTTTTGCAATAAATGAGAAACTGTGAGTGAATACGAATGGATTTAATCAAAACATGCATGATTATCACATTAACAATACCATTAATACGAAACAATGTCTAAAAGCAAGTAGTAATTAACAGAAAAGAAACTACAAT